GAGAATGAGTATGGTCGCCAGTGGAGATGAGCACCGATCTCACTGGAGTTGGGAGACACTTTTGACTATTTGGGGTTTAAGTGGCTTAAAATGCAGTCTGGTAAGTGGCCTGACCTGCCTTTGAACTCTGACCTCTGGTTTCGCTGTAAACTCTGTACTTGATACATGTCTCCTTGAGTAATGACACGTGTGTGCACGTGCGACATTTAGCATTTTCAACAATACAAGCACGTCCTGCTTTGCACCCGACATTTCTCCATCCAGATCATACCGCTTACATAGTTTACGCAAGTGCAGCTCTCTGCCAGAGAGAAGCCACGCAATTACTTTTACAACTGCACTGTCAATTCTTTGCATGTTTAGAGAGAGAGAGAGCTCTGTGTACTCTGGGATAACACAGCATTTGGGTTTTCCCAAACCTTTAACCTGTTACATATTACATGTGCCCTTTATTGTCAGTATGCTTTTAAAACCTGCGAGTCAGTGTGGAATTCGACATGTGTGTTCCCATTTTATGTAAAGAGAATGTGTCCCGAGTGTCTCATCATCATCATAGGCTATCCCTCACAATCAAGGATGATTGTCTTCCGTAGAAAATTTGGATTATCTGTGGGTCCGAAGGTGGTCTGTGATTGACAGATTCTACCGCAGCTAGGGCACATGTGTCCAGAAAGAGTGGGTGGAACTGGATTAGTAAGTCAGGCTCCAGCGTGCTGTTTCCGCCAATCCCGCTTTTCCTCTTCCTGATTCCGCCATTGAGTTTCTAAATGTTTGGATCCTTGAAATAGTCTCCATCTGAGGTGATCCGAGGCAAGAGTCTCCCATGAGTGGGTGTCGATGGTGCACTTCTTGATATGTTGGCCTTGAGGACATCCTTGAAGCGCTTTCTCTGCCTGCCTCTTGAACGCACACCCTGACTAAGCTGGGAGTAGAAGACTTGCTTCGGGAGTCTGAATTTGGGCATAAAGACGACGTGGCCAATTTCGATTGATTATGGCCTCAATGCTCGTGGTCTTTGTTTGCCCGAGGACGCTGATGTTAGCGCCGTCTGTCTTCCCACCTGATTTCAAGGATCTTCCGCAGGCAGCGTTGATGGTACTTCTCTAGCGCTTTGAGATGTGTCCATGTGTCTATAATTAGTGTGATTTGATTGCATAAATGTGCAATCCCCACCTGTTGTTTTTCGCCTGCGCACGAGCTTTTGTTTTGAATGCATGTGGTAGGCGTGCACAAAGACAAAGATCGCACTTTTAATCCTCGAATTGCCATGCGGTTTATGAACACCTCCCAAACGCGTAGCCCCCCACACGTTCACACTGGGTGACTGGCTAAATAAGCAAGTCATCATTTTGAACACATTTAAAGGGGGTTTTCTTTTATTTTTCCCGAAAACACACTCCCCGTTGCGTGATGCACGTTTACGTTCTATCAGTGCAGATTCCCATGAACGCGCGTAATATTTTCTCGTTCGTGTAGAAATGGGGTTTGGTTTGGGATGCGTGTTTTTGTCAGAAGGAAGTGAAGCGATCTCATTAAAGGCAAATTGAACTCTTATTACTCGGAGCTTCGTTGCCTCTAGGCAGGACCAACACATAATGTATGGGAGCAATACGTAACATACAGTACAACTCTCCACCGACTTGTAAGGGACACTTACATGGCCCACCTCCTTCACGTGCCATACGAGCAGGCTCCACGCATCATGAGTCATGGTAAATTTTGTCTGAAATATGCGCATTACAACTGACGCTATTATAATTTAGATTCATATTTAATCATAATCACAAATGAATAAACATTACATAAGACCCAGAGCCAGGCTGATCACATGCCGATAGATCAACTTGAAACACTGAGCGCAGGTCCTTGCTGGGCCCAGGCCCCGATGTGGCTGGTGGGATTTGTAAAAAGTGTATTTTTATGTTCTATGTGGAGGGACACGTGTGTGGTGTGTGCACGCAACATGCATTCACATATACGAACGGACACAAACGTTAGGCCTACGAGGGGGTGGGTGGCCAGCACCACGCCTCTGCCTAGTGCTGATGTTTACACATGACACCAGGTACTCGTTTGAGGCTGAGTTGGCCTCCAGGTTTATTATACCTATGTAGACACAATCTAACACACGCATCCACCCACATCATGTTGCTTCGCAGTATGTTACTCTTAAAATATTTTTTTAAAGTATTTTGTTGCCAATCTTGCTGCGAAACTTTACAGATGTGGGCGTTGTTGCTGGTAAGCTGGAGTGATTGTTTTAGTGGGGAGGGGGTTGTCGTCTTTGTAAAAACATGTGAAGTGTTATTGTACGGACAATATTTCCGGCACATAGCAATCAGTCGTCGATTGGCTTCCTTAAAAATCATGCGCACATTGCAGATCTAAGACCGTAATGAGCACGTGGATTTTGCTGGTGCGACGCCACATGAGGAGCGTGCACAGCGTGCGAGACTTTGGGCTCAAAGAGCCAGAGGATGAAGCGTTTCAGTCTCTCGAAGGCAATGTCACCTTTTTTTTATCAGCAAACGTACACGAGGTCAGTCAATAGATTAAAATGTACACTTGGGGTTCTTTTATTCGTCTGCAGCACGGCACGCAGAGCACAATACCGCCAGCCTGTGTTGCCTTAAACACAAACGCACACACCCCTAGACATTGAAGTCAAAGATCTGCCGAATAACCTGAACAGATTGTTGTTGGGGTAAGTGCTGTAAATGAGCAACGCCTATGCAGGCCGTCACAGTACACGAGGGGGTGGGTGGCTAGCATCACGCCCGACCGCCTTTGTCTCCCCAGTGTTTTAGTGGGGGGGATGGGGTGCCAACAGATACAAATTAAATGGAGAGGCTCGCCACATCTTCAAGCCAATGTCTGCGTACATCTTTGCGTCGTGTAGATCTCGGATTACTTGAGTGGGATTCGGATAGAGCCCGATTGTGGATGTTCCATTAAAGCTTGTATTATGACAGGGGGTTACCGGCCCACCTAAATGTCGCACAAGATTCACCACCCACGCACATTATTTGCGGCGGAAGTTATATTAAGAAATATCTTGAGTTTTTCTTGCTATAAATATACGAGGCTAGATTGATGCCTCTTGATATGTTGATTAGTCGAGCCGTCGTTCCTGTGGGCTCTGCCAAGATTGCGTCTCTGCTCGTTTCGAGGCGCAGAGGGCACTGCCCGCCAATGAAGCCTCCCGTCTCCCTTTGCACATACAAGTTGTGTAACACTTTCCGTTTGTCAGGCCTGTGAAGGAATGCCACGTCCGGCTAATCACCCGTCATCCAACTGCAAACCAGATGTTAAATCAAAGTCTTCCTCGTGGAATACATCGACTCAATGAATAAATACAAAAATAATGCCGCGAGCGTGGCCTGTAATGTGTATTTATAAAATGTGGGCTCTTGAGACGCCCTGTTAAGCATGGGAACATTAAAACATGCCCAGAATAATTATATGACGTTCTTAAATAAGCTTTTACTGACCAGATTTCGGTTTGAGAGGAGCGTCGGTTGGGGTTTCAGACTGAATTATTGTTTCGCAAGTTCGGAGTCCCGCTCAGGCCATGGTTATGTGTGGTACTCGCAGCGCCTGTGTGGAATGCGCTATCTAGAGGCAGGGGAGCGAAAGGCGCCACGATGCATTTATTTGTTTTTTTCCTCCTAATTTACAACCAAAAGCCCGGTGACATGTAGTATGTTTTGCCCTGGAGACCTGGATGTCCATACAAGGGGAGGACTGCTATATATATATTTTTTATAATCTCCTCGTAGGTCACACTAAAGTTTGGGATTTAGGCCGTGACGTTGTGTTCACTTGTAAATTGCACAAGAGCCTTCATGTTAGCTTCATGTCTTGTCTTGTGCTGTGCGTGTTACTCATGGGGACTCTAACCCTTTTTAAAGTTGTGTTTACCTTATTTGATGGCCCTGCCACTATGGCAATACAAGTACCATTACGTGTTATGCTTACAGTTAAACCATTATCAATAACTTCCATTTATCTGCACAAAGAAGCGTGGATAATTGGGGTGACTGCCACCTCTTCTTGGTTGTTCATCTGTGACACCAGCTTCTCCGTATCTCGTATGTATGTTGAACTGCTTTTGCACTGTATGTAGCCAACTGTGCTATTCGGAGGTGCGGGGGAAAGTCAACAAACTAAACACAAAAAGCAGTTCTAGAGAAATTATGTTTCAGTCTGGATGATTTAAAAATGCATACCTCCAATGGCTTCCTAATATCGGAAGGAAGAGCATTCCAGACGGGCGCAGAAGCGCATCTGAAAGCGCGCGATGCAGTGACCACCTTTGTTCGACGCCAAGCCAGAGTCACTTCTGTGAGGATGAGCGGAGTTTGCGTCGATGTCATTTGAAAACCTGGGATCAGTTATGGTGACGCCTACAGCTGTATTGTTGACCCAAAATTACAATCACACTGTGATTGTAATTCGTTACGCATGACGCAATTACAGTTGTAGTTTACCCCAGATCTGTAAACCTTCCCTCCCTCCCTCGCTCAATCCTGGATGCGCTTACAAAGTCTTTAGTGTGTTATTGTCATGGTGTTATTGTCATGAACATTACCAAAGTGACATTTCCTACAGTCTCTACGTTATGAAATATCATATTTTCATTGCAAATACTCTGGATTAACGGTAAAACACTTTCTGCAGCAACATAAAACCGTACAGTGTTATATATTTCTATTCATTTATATTGGGCGTGGTAAAGGAACATGTTCTGTTTAAACCCCGTGTCTCAGTGGGTTTCTTTTTTTAATTTACAAACGGGGGTGGTGGTGGGGGGGGAATAGATGTTGGACATCACGGAGCAATATTGTTTGGCAGGATAAGCAGGGTGTAATATAATAAATAACATGCAGAGGACCATTGCTCACCGCTTGGAGCTCCAGCGATTGGTTTGAAGTTGCGCTCAGGCACTGGGGCATTGGTGTGGGGCCTGGGGTGGGTTATTCTGGGGTGGTGGGTGGGTGCACGTCAGGTACACGCGCGCACGCAAACGTCATTCGAACAACTGCAGCGGGGTATTAATAGCCCTGCTGACTCAATTTGTTCGCAAAGAGGCGTCCACGCAGCCGACTCCGACAGAAGCGCTGTAGAGCAATAGCCACAGGAACGGCTTGTGTTGGAGAAGGCTAAGCGGTTATATCTCGAGGTTCTCTACTTATTTCATTTGTTTTTTTGTCGAACCGCGTATATCTCCGGCACGGTCCGCTCGTAGGCGTGTGCGGTAGGGGGTGGAGGGGGGGAGGATGATTCGAGGCTGTCCGTAGTTCCAAGAAATCTGCGCCGTTTTCTTTTTTCCCCGGTCAAGCCGTGGAGTTTTTTTATTTTTGTTCTTGCGAGGCCAAAACCCCACCACCGCGCCGCTCTTAGCCATGGCGCTCCGCTTACGCGAATTGCCGAACGCGTGCATTGGTTGTGTCGGATGAAGACGTTTTCGGCAGAGAGTAGGGTAAATTAGCGAGGACAAAGTTGATTTGGCGCTTTCGTGATTGCAGGAATTACTCTTTGGTTCTTTCGGTAAAGTGACGTAGAAAGAGAAAATAGGAAATTAAAAAAAGAGGACAAATCTGCGCACATTTTTTTTCTCCGCCTCCTCCTCACACTTTGAGAGGGTTAGTTGTTACACGTCGGCCTCGAGATGATTGACAGCAGCAAGAAGCTTCAGCAGCAGCGGCGTGCCGCGCTCGTCTGCAGCACGCACGGCGGTAAAGATTTCAAGCAGTGGAACGGAAGCCACTGCCACAATGGAAGGGAAATCTACAAGAGCCTAAAGGAAGGTGCGGCTTTTTGTGTGTGCATTGCATGGGCATCGCGCATGGCATTGTCGCATAACGGACTGGGTAGGGTAATCTGTTATATTCATTGTGGGTGCTTGACGGTATCTTCAATGTCTAGGGGAGTGGTGGCACAATGGTTAGCGTGGTGATGCGCTACAAACCCGGCGACCCGAGTTCGATTCTCTCTCACGACAACCAACCAACACCGGGAACGATTATCTCCTGGGCCTCCCCTGGGTCGACTCTGCCTAAAATGAGTACCTGTTGCGGTGTGTAAACATCGCCACCGGGGAGACAAAGGCGGTCGGGTGTGGTGCTTGCAACCCACCCCGTCGTGTGCCGTGCCGGCCTTCATAGGTGATGCTGTTCACTTATAGCGTCTGGCCCAACAGTTTGTTCAGGCTATTCGGGGAATCTTTGACTTCTATGTCTAGGGGGTGTGTGTGTGTTTGAGGCGATACATTGTTACATTTGGAAATATTGTAAATAATTGTCAATACGTAATATGAAGGTGCATCTGACTGATTTTTCAATATGTGAGAGTATGGTGAAGTTACGGTTTTCTCTGTGAATAATTACAGTACATCAGTTTTGTAATTATGTGTATCTTTGTAACCAGTAATCGCATTTAACTTCCTAATGTTGATAATCTGAGTCTGAAAGCGCCTCACCATAGCCCTTAACAACCCTAAACAAATAGTCTCATCTCTCGACCCTTTTACAATGTTTGTTCTGTTCGAAAGCGTTTGTGACAATAGCAACAACCTGGCTACAGCTTGGTGAACTTGCCCTACAATACTTACTGTACTGCTCACCGCTTTCAGTCAGTACACTATGTGACATTGTTTAGAATGAGATGAGGGAGCTCATTTCCAGCCCGTCACATAAAACTTGACACGTGGCTTTAATATAAATACATCGCATATCCTTCGGGTGATTTCCGAGCACATCCTCGTACCGTAAGCATATTCACAGCGTTATCGCAGTAACCGTGTTGGTGGCGCAGTGAGTCTCGGGGCACGAGGTGTGGTGGGTATAATAAGGTGTGGTGGGTATAATAAGGTGCTGTGTAACCACGCAGGGAGCACGCACGTGAGCATTCGAGCTGGGAAACAGAATTAGCCGGATGGCGGTGGTGGTGGCGGCAGCTACGCACGTGGCCTGTAAGCCCAGCACTTGTGGAGGCAGCGAGGTTTGATGGATCACACACAAATGTTGTAAAACTCCCTTCTCGTGGACGTCGAGGTGCCCAAACCCTGGCTCGTCAGGAGAAGGCGGTATACCGAACGCGGACCCTGCCTGTTCTGTCTGTATGGGATAGAGTGTTGCCCCCTCGCACGCGTGGGTTGTCTCCACAGGTGCCCTGGTTTCCTCCCACGTGTAAACGATTTCATAAATAGAGAACCGCAGAGCTTGGTTCCTCCTCGTGCTTCTGAGTTGTCCTCTCGCTCTTGTTGAGAGTGAGTGGATACTGTGCACATTACAAGCTGACATGACGATATAAATTGAGTTTAAGGCTATGCACTGAGGCTAGTTGACAAGGAAACCAATGCATTAACCATACTAAGCTTCGTCATAAGATTTCATTGCAGATCAGCTATGACGTTGGTAAAATGTAAATTTTACAGTATTATACAGGGTGTCCGTTATGTAAAAAAAATATATGCATAATTTAACAAGCGTTTGAACTGCACAAGTTTAAATGTTGTCAACATTGGGCTCCCACCTGGGTGAAGTGGAGGATATTTCTCAAGCGAGGCAGTGTAATGTTGGTCCAGTACCGCTTGAGTATTATCTAAGATCCGTAAATTATGCTTTTAAGATGTGTAGCGCATATTTATTGCAGCGAATGTCACTGTCTTTATATGCGGATATAATTTTTAAAGAAATCCAGCATTTTGATTGAAACAGTGAAACTCCTCTTATCCGCATTTAGGTGGAGGGCACCGTTGGCAGATGAACAAATTTGTGGATAAGAGGCGTTGTCATCCTATTGTCCACGTTTATTCTGCCCAAGTCCACCTCTCTCTTGAAAAGGCCTGGCAAGCAAGCAAAAGCACAGGATTACGGAACAGTGAGTGAACACGTGTACGTGAGTGAGTGAGAAAGTGAGTTTTGAGTACGTGAGTGAGTGGATGAGCATGAGAGAGTTAGTCACCAAAAAGCACGCGAGTCGTTGAGTCAGCGTGGGTGAGCGAGCGGGTGAACACTAATACGTGAGCGAGCCGGTGAACACTAATACGTGAGTGAGCGAGTGAACACTAATACGTGAGCGAGCGAGTGAACACTAATACGTGAGCGAGCGAGTGAACACTAATACGTGAGTGAGCGAGTGAACACTAATACGTGAGTGAGCGAGTGAACACTAATACGTGAGTGAGCGAGTGAACACTAATACGTGAGTGAGCGAGTGAACGCTAATACGTGAGTGAGCGAGTGAACGCTAATACGTGAGTGAGCGAGTGAATGCTAATATGTGAGTGAGCGAGTGAACGCTAATACGTGAGTGAACGAGTGAAACTAATACGTGAGTGAGCGAGTGAACGCTAATACGTGAGTGAGCGAGTGAATGCTAATATGTGAGTGAGCGAGTGAATGCTAATATGTGAGTGAGCGAGTGAACGCTAATACGTGAGTGAACGAGTGAACGCTAATACGTGAGTGAGCGAGTGAACGCTAATACGTGAGTGAGCGAGTGAACGCTAATACGTGAGTGAGCGAGTGAACGCTAATACGTGAGTGAGCGAGTGAACGCTAATACGTGAGTGAGCGAGTGAACGATAATACGTGAGTGAGCGAGTGAACGCTAATACGTGAGTGAGCGAGTGAACACTAATACGTGAGTGAGTTAGTGAGCCTATGTACGTGAGTGAGTGCGAGTACACGAGTGAGTAGGTGAGCACGAGTGAGTGAGGGAGTGTGAGTAAACAGGTGAGCGTGTTTGGGAGAGCAGGTGTCATTCATTAGAGACTGAGCGAGTGAGAATGCTGGGAGCAATCGAGTTTCATGTGCATATGGGAGCTCAAACGGGCGTGTATCGGATAGAGAGTAAACATGGCATAACGAGTGAGCTAGAGTGCATGCAAGAAGGTGGTTGAGCAAGATTGCATGAGTGTGTATTCTTTGTGGGGAGCGGTGGCGCAGTGGTTAGCACACTGCACTACAAACCTGGCGACCCAAGTTCGAATCCCGCTCATGGCGAACACCAGTGACGATTATCTGAACCGGTCCTGGGCCTTCCATAGGTCGACTCAGCCTCAAATGAGTACCTCGTGCGATGTGTAAAGATCGCCACTTGGGAGATAAACGCGGCCAGGTGTGATATTGGCCGCCCACCCCCTAATGTGCCCATTGCCGATCTTCAATGGTGCTTGAAAAAGCACTTGTGCAAAGGTCTGTTAAGGCTGTTTAGGGGATCTGTATATAGTCTTAGAGCTGGACGCCCCAATGATTTATTAAGTAATCGATTATATTACTAGACCAATTACCGGTTAAATTACTTGACATACAAATAACTGGAAGATAGCTTTCAAAAAAATATCAACAAAATTACATCAATGATACCTCGTGTGCTTGCCTGCTGTGAAGTTTAATATACATAGTTCCGCAGTGTTCACGCTGGGCTGGCTTAATGCTGCAGTCTGAGCGTAGCTCGGAAGAGACCCACGTGTCAAGCACCTGCCTCCACGGCACGCACGGGAGCACATTGCTAGTGTCAAACATAATGCGTTGCACGTGTGTGTGTGACGATGTGATCTCATGGCTTAATTACTCAACATTTGCCTTGCTGCAGGTGTGCAAGGCCAACGTCACGACACCAAACCCACCGAAGCAGCAGATGTTACAGTCGTAGCAGTGGTTACACGGGAGAAAGGTGCAAAAAAAACGTGGCTTTTTCAGCAGCTTCCTCGTTTTTGTTTTGTTTAACTGGGCAGCCTCACCCTGAGTTGCCGTGCTGCCTGTCTGGTCAGATTTGGAAAGAAAAAGAAAAGGCAAATATTTGGCCAGCGCTCTGGACGACAACGTTTGAATTCCCCCAGTGCCTCTATTCACAGGCCCTTTTCTTAATAAAATAGCATTGCGCAAAATCAAGAATCACTGTGATGCTTTTTGTATATTTGCATTTTCAATGGTGTGCTTTTGCTGGCTGCTTGACGTTTTGGGTCTGTGGACCATTGCTCAGCAACTGTGTTAAAACAGAATGGAACACAATGCATAATTGGTCCAACTACGTGTGGAACACTTTGAAATATGTTTTTATTTACTTACAAGGCAGTGTTCATAGCGAACGATGACAAGATGTTTTAAGTAATTGGTGTTAAAGTTTGCTTTAAAGGTCCAAGAAAATAAGAATGTAGTTTTGCAGATGCAAAAAAAAACAATGCCCGTACATTTTTTTCATGAATAAAACAAGTCGTATGTAAATTGGTCAGTCTGTGCCATCCACGCATTAATGAGTTCATATTTTAGCTGAATTTTGACGTGGCGTTTGAAACTACTGGCAGTGGCGCTTCCGCTCCCGGCTAGTGTCACCAGATTAAATTAGCGCACGTATTTCCTGCAGGCAGGGGATGGGATCGTTAGCGCACCGCACTTGCAATACCAGAAGTTGTCCGTTCCGTCCCGATCGCCCCAATGTGGCAGTTGGGACAACAGGCAGGATTCTTAAATCCTCCCACACCTCTCGATCCAGCGGTATAAATGGGCGTGCCACAGTTCGTCGATGGGTTGCAGATCGTGTGTGGTGGGGTAAAATGTGAGTGTTCCCATTGTCTTCCAAGAAATTCAAGGTAGCGTGTAGAGGATTGGGCCAAAATACCCTCCCAAATGTCGTGGAGGCCCTACTGGCAGCAGTGCCACGAGCAAGTAATTGCAATGCTGCACCTTTACCTTTTGCTGGAGGCAATCGTGGCTCTGCTGGCTTGTCTCCGCTGTTAAGACTGCCGCGAAGCAGCTGCTCTATGCTTCAGCTTTAATGTTTCACTGTCAGCACCTCGGAATCACCGTGTCAGCATACCTCCCCGGGTGCCTGCGCCGGTGAAATATTGAACAACCCCCTAATGCTTGTATACACTGGGAGAATCCTGACGCCAGACACCGAACGCCAAGGTGCCTGGAAACCGTCATCGCCTTTGGCAAATTGTTCGTCCCGTGATTTGTACACGGGACCTTTTAACGTTTGAAAAATTCCAATTTACGTGGATAAAAAATTGCGCACAGTGTATTTAAAGTGCACCGGTACTCACGCACCGTTGCGTGTTGACTAAGAATTTATCAACCCGCAAGGCTCGTCTGTTAAATAACTAACAGGTGACACGGAGCCATCTCCTCTGTGCTGAGTTTACAGTTTCTTATTATCTTTTGGTTACGAAATATAACCATTGTAATATGTAAATCCAAGGATAAAACGTTCTCCTTCTGAGGGTACTCTTCATAAACCATCTTGATTAATTCTTAATGCTTAATGCGTTGTGTGGGATTTCGCGGTTGTGCGCGTGGCTGTCTAATGTGCTTTGGGTGCCGTGTACCGCTCGTGCTGTTCGGCGCGATATCCGACGTTTCGCTCCAAGTGTGGGCAGCTTTCGCTTCCTAGAAAAAACCCGAAAATGCATGAAAAACATGATTATTGTTTTGTATGTCAATTCTGTATACTGTATTTCCAAAGCAGGTTTGGTTTTTCCTGCCACTAGTTTTTAATCTCATAAGGTATGGTAAATAATACGAATTGTAAAAAGTCAATCCACTATCATTTTATAATTTGCGCCTTGTCAACCCAGTGCTGGATGCATGCATGTATGTTGAACATCTTTCGCACCATACGTAGCCTACCATGCTAATCGGTGGTTATTTGACCAAGGGGGTTGTTTGACCATACTTCAATCTTTTCATATATGCAGCCGAGTGAAGCAAGAGGAGGCCCAGGTCCAGTTGAGAGATGCCACGCTCGCCGTTGATGTTATTAGCCATGGACGGAAATCAAACTCTGGTTGCCGAGTTGGTAGTGCACTGTGGCACCCACTGCACTACTGCTCTCTCTCTCTCACCCCGTCCATTACAGCATACCGTATATAGCGTGTTGTTGCGTTGAATGTTACTCCTCTTCTCTCAGCCAACTTCGCTCGTGTTGTTGTTGTTGTTGTACGGTACTCTGGTTACACCACTGTTGCTTCTTGCCAGCTTCAGCGTGCTTTATTCCCCACTATTTTCCAACCCTCAGTGATAATGTACGGCATTCACAAGTATGCAGAAGTGTTATGCAAATTGAAGATTTGCATGTAAGATGCTATGCTTTGACATTGTGATATTATTAAGAAAAAAAATATATAGACGAGTTTTTTTTCTACATTCATTTACATATGGTTATTTCGGTAAAGTCACGAAAGAACCAAAGAGTATGGATTCCTGCAGTCACGAAAGCTTCAAATCAAGATGTAAGACATAATTTGTCATCTGCTATTTTGTGATAACTTCAAAGGATTCTCATTGCCGTCCATCAGGTTAAGTAAGAGTGAATGGGGAGTTCAGAGCGAGTGAAGGGTTTAGGATGAGTTTCGGTAAATAACATGAAAACCAAGTCTGTGTAGCAAGAAAAAAACCCCATTCAGTCTCAGGACTTTTTCAGGACGGTCGTGAGAGTTTAGACATTTATTTATTGCGCATGTTGTGTGTGTGGAATGAAACTTTCTTTTTTAACAGTGGCCGAGCATTTGCTCAAAAGGCCCGTAACATCAAGCGGCCAGCAACAAACATCATCTATTAAAGTTGTAATGGATATAAAAAAAAACGCAGCAGCTGGAGGGAACAAAAAAAGTGCCCGTCGGAGGATAGCGCTGACACGTTTGTACAGAGGCTGCACTGTTCTCAGTTGCTGATGTGAGACGCTTATTCTGGTGACTTCAGAGTTAGTCCCATGATGTCATATTCCAGGGTCCGTTCCCACGTGCGCCGCGATGTACCGTTCCCTGCGAGCGCCCCGCGGGGGCTTTCCCGCGCCTCCTAACCCTGCACCGCTTGGCACGATTTAAATGCAGTCGGGGAATTCAAAATGAATATTCTGTCAGCAACCAACTTGAT